TTGATCAATTATATCTCTCGTATACAGGTTAAAAGACAAAACTAATAAAAACAACTATAGCTACAATAATTTGCTAAGAGATACGCATTATAAACACATGTAATTTGTGACATTAAGAACATAAATAGTGGGAGCAGGGAGAGTGAAAGTGTGGAGTTCGGGCATGCAGTAAAAATTAAATTGTTATCACTTTAAAATAGCCTATTGTGTTTTTTTGCAATCCTCAGAATAACCACACAGCAAAACAAGAACACACTGGAAAACCTAGAAGAAATGGATAAATTCCTAGAAACATGTAACTTACCAAGACTGAATAATGAAGAAACTGAAAATCTGAACAGGCCAATAAAGAGTAAGAAGATTGAATCAGTAATAAAAAGTTTCCTCCTATCAAATAAAAACCCAGTACCAGACGGCATCACTATGAATTTCTACCAAACATTTAATGCAGAATACCAATTCTTTTCAAGCTGTCAAAAAATTGAAGAGGAGGGAATACATCAAATTCATTTTACAAGGTCAGCATTACCCTGAAATTAAAGGCAGACAAAGACACTAAAAGAAAAGAAAATTACAGGTAAATATTCCTGAACACAGATGCAAAAATTATCAATAAAAACATCAGTGGCTGGTACAGTGGTTCACGCCTGTAATCCCAGCACTGTGGGAGGCCGAGGTGGGCAGATCACGAGACCAGGAGTTTGAGACAAGCCTAACCAACATGGGGAAACCCCGTATTTATTGAAAATACAAAAATTAGCCAGGCGTGGTGGCACGTGCCTGTAATCCCAGATCCTCAGGAGGCTGAGGCAGGAGAATTGCTTGAACCTGGGAGGCAGAGGTTGCAGTGAGCCAAGACTGCACCACTGCACTCCAACCTGGGGGACACAGCAAGACTTAGTCTCAAAAACAAACAAAACAAAAAACAAACAAAAAAAAACACTACCAAACCATATTCCACAGTACAGTAAAAGGATCATTCACCACGATGAAGTGAGATTCATCCCTGAGATGCTACAACAGTTCAACATGTGCAAATCAATAAATGTGATCTGCTGTATTAATAGAATGAAGGATAAAAATTATATAATCATCTCAATAGATGCAGAGAAAGCATTTAACAAAATTCAATAGTTTCATAATAAAAACTCTCAACATCAAAGGTATAGAAGGAATGTACCTCAACATAATAAAGGCCATATATGATAAGCCTACAGCTAACATCATGCTCAATGGTGAGAAGTTGAAAGCTTCTGATCAGGACTGAGATAAGGATGACCATTCTTACCACTTCTATTCAAGGTACTGTTTTAAGTCCTAGCCAAAGCAATTAGAAAAGAAAAAGAAATAAAAGAAATCCAAACAGGAAAGGAAGAAGTGAAATTGTCTCTTTTTGTTGAAGACATACAAAATCTTATGTACAGAAAACCCTATAGACTCTACCAAAAAACAATTACAATAAATGAATTCAGTAAAGTTGCAGGATACAAAATCAACATACAAAAAATCAGTAGCATTTCTATCCACTAACAATGAAATCTGAAAAAGAAATTAAGAAAATAATCCCATTTACAAGAGCATCAAAAAAAAAATACTGAGGAATAAGTTTAACAAAGGAGGTGAAAGATCTGTACAATGAAAACTCTAAAAGGCTGATGAAAGAAATTGAGGATGACACAAATACAGTAATGAGTTATGTAATGACAAGGATACATTCTGAGATATGTGATGTTAGGTGATTTTGTCATTGTACAAACATCATAGAGTATATTTACACAAACATAGATGCTATAGCCCACTCCATACCTAGGCTATATCTTCTGGGCAATAAACCAGTATAGCATGTTACTGTACTGAATACTGTAGGCAAATGTAAAACAATGGTAAGTATTTGTATATCTAAACATTTCTACATAACAACACATATCTCAACGAAATATGATAGGCAGCCCAGAAATAAACCTATGCATTTATGGTCAATTGATTTTCAACAGAGGTGCCAAGAATACACAATGGGGAAAGGACAGTCTCTTCAATCAAGTACTAGGAAAACTGGCTATCCATATATAGAAGAATGAAATTGGGCCCTTATTTCACCCCATATACTAGAATCAACTTAGAATGGATTAAAGACAAATGTAAAACGTAAGACCTGAAACTAAAACTACTAGAAGAAAACATAAGGGAAAACCTCTTTGACATTGTTCTCAGCAATGATTTCTTGGATATGACTCCCAAAGCACAGGCAACAAAAGCAAAAATAGACAAATAGGAATGCATCAAACTAAAAGGCTTCTGCGCAGCAATGGAAACAATCAACAGAATGAAGAGACAACTCACAGATTGGGAGAAGATATTTGCAAATCATACATCTGATAAACGACTAATATTCAAAATATACAAGAAACTCAAACTACTCAATAATAAGAAAACAACCTTATTTTTTAAACATGGGCAAAAATCCAAAATAGACATTCCTCAAATGAAGACATACAAATGGCCAACAGATACATTAAAAAAAATACTCAGCATCACAAATCATCAGGGAAATACAAATTAAAACCACGACGAGAAAACCTCACACCTGTTAGAATGGCTATTATAAAAAAGATGAACGCTAACAAGTTGGCAAGGGTACTGAGAAAAGGGAATCCCCTGTACGCAGTTGATGGGAATGTAAATTAGTATAGCCATTTTGGAGAAGAGTATGGAGGCTCCCCAAAACACTAAAAACAGAACTGCCATAGGATCCAGCAATCCCACTTCTGGGTACACATCCTAAGGAATTGAAATCAGTATGTTAAAGGGATATATGCACTCCTGTGTTCACTGTAGCACTATTCACAATAGCCAAGATATAGAAACAACCTAAATGCCCATCAATTGGGAAATAAGCCAGGCATGGAAAAACAAATATGCATGATTTGACTTATATGTAAATCTTAAAAAGTCAAACTCACAGAAGTAGAATGTACAATAGTAGTTAACAAAGGCTGGGTAAAGGTGAGGAGGTAGACAGGGAAAGAAGAGATTGTTCATCAGAGTACAAAGCTCCAGTTTAAGAGGAGGTATAAGTTCTAGCGACCCACTGCAAAGTACATTGACTATAATTAATAATAATGTATTGCATATTTCAAAATTCTTAAAAGAGTAATTTTAAATCTTTTTGCCACAAGGAAATAAGTACGTGAGGTGATGGATATGTTAATTAGCCTGATTCAATAATTCTACAATGTATGCATGCATCATAGCATTACATTTTACCCCATAAATATATACAATTATTTGTCAATTAAAAATAAAATATAAAAAAAGAAAAAAGAATAGACTCTTTAGTTAACAAGCATTTATTAACCATTCCAATTTTAAATATATTCTTGTTATTAGGTAAAGATGAGGCGAATGTGGGATAAATGAGGACCACTGACTTTTTAATTGTTGTTTATTTTAATATGGATTTTTCATAAACCTTTTCTTGTTATGTAGAAACAAGTGATACATAAAACATGGTAAATATTTAAGGTGTGATAATTAGGTACATAATTAAGTATGTCAAATTGTCCCTGTTTGCAGATGACATGACTGTATATTTAGAAAACACCATCGTCTCAGTCCAAAATCTCCTTAAGCTGATAAGCAACTTCAGCAAAGACTCAAGATACAAAATCAATGTGCAAACATCACAAGCATTCTTATATACCAATAGCAGACAAACAGAGAGCCAAAGCATTAATGAACTCCCATTCACAAGAGCTTCAAAGAGAATAAAATACCTAGGAATCAAACTTACAAGGGAGGTGAAGAACCTCTTCAAGGAGAACTACAAACCACTGTTCAGTGAAATAAAAGAGGACACAAACAAATGGAAGAACATACCATCTGTCTCTTATACACATCTAGATGTGTATAAGAGACAGGAGATATACCTAATGTAAATGACGAGTTAATGGGTGCAGCACACCAACATGGCACATGTACACATATGTAACAAACCTGCATGTTGTGCACATGTACCCTAGAACTTAAAGTATAATAAAAAATAAATAAAAATATGTTAAATATTTAAGGTGTGATAATTAGATACATAATACATGCATATAAAATATGTATGCATATATGTATATTTTATATGCATAAAAATGTTAAATGTTAATTCTATTACAGTGAACTAATTATTAAAGTCTGCATGGAGGCAATATATTCATGTCTTTAGAAAATTTTTAAATTCATAATAAATATTCCTATTGTGTTACCAACACACTCAACATTTGAACCAAATTTAATCTTTAACTGCTAAAGGGTTATTTATTCCATGGGTTCTATACCTACTATATTGTGAATAAAGGGTTATTTATTCCATGGGTGCAATACCCACTATACTAATTTGATACCTTTCATGAGAGACACTCAGGAAATATATATGTAATTTTTAAAAAATCACACCAGTAAATTCTAAATTGGCTGCTTAAGCCCACAGATTCTGCAGGCCATTGATAATCCAACTTTTAATTACTTCTTTAGAGGCACTAGGGGAAAAAACAATTTTTTTGAGTATCTCATTCTAAATCATAAAATTTTTAAAGACTTCAAAAACCTCTTTTAATTTACGATAAATATGGGAGAAGAAAATGACCAAATTAATGGCATGAAGCAACATTCTAGCTTTTAAACTTAATATGTCTCTTTTTATTTTAAAATAACCAATCTTTTTTTATTACATGAAAAATTACATTTGTTTTTAATCAAGCGAACAGAATACCGAAGTTTGTATACCTAATTAACACATTTTAAGTATCTGTTTAGGAAAGAAGTGATAGTAGCTCTAGCTCTACCACAGAATGACAACTCTTCATTTTGTAAATGTTTTCTAAGTAATGCTCAAATGAAAATTATTTCTCAGTTCTTTTGCAAGTATCCATCTCATCTGCCAAACTACTGTGACTTAATAAGCAGTGAAGCAAAATTCTTTAACCTACAGAGATCTAGTTCATTTTTGTTACCTTTTTTCAGCAAAATCCAACATTATTAGGTCATCCCTCAGTGAACTGGTCTGTTCCTCAACTATTCTCATCCTTTGCTGAAGTACTGTGAATGTTTCAGAAGCTGTAGCGTTGATGTGGGTTGGAGAAAGGACCGGTCTGGACACTGTAGTTTCCATATGTACCTAAGAATACAGTCACAATCTTAGCATGGTATTGTTCAAAAATAGTTTGAACATTAATAATATTATTGTTAATATTATTGTTCAAAAATAGTCACTGCCATTCCTGTGCCAGGATTAGGCATCACTGTCCTGTTGAACTCAGGAATGGTCATGTGTTCCGCTTTGGTCAATTAAATGTAGGTGGAAGTTATGAGCCAGCTTGTTCTTCACCATCTCTCTCTTTTCCCTCCCCCATGAGATGAGTAACATCCCAGGCAGGACTTTCTCCATGCACTAGGGTCCCAAGGTTACGATGACATCAAACAGACCCACAACCCATTCATGATATACAGTGTGCATGTCATGATATACAATAAATCTATGTTGTTGCAAGCCATTAAGATTGTTGAGTAGTTTATTTCATCATAATTTAGTCTATTCTATTTGCCACTATTAGTCACACACGAGGACCTATGACTTGCTGAGGGAATGGCTTTTATTATTAGCCATTTTCATCGTAACATTATTACCATTCAACCTTCTTGAAAAACATTCTATACTTGAACCTCTGTACAGTTGTCATAAAATAAATGATTTACCAACTATGTATCCTACATTGAAGCAACATTTTAAAAAATAACATGCAACCTTAACTTCAAGCAAAAGCAAAGACCTTTCTACAGCTATTGACATCAAATTTCCACAGGCTCCTTCCCCAAAACCCAATGAAAATAATAGTGAGAATACTCTTTCAAGATATTAGTGACAGAAGCAGAATTAGCTTATATGTGGTCCCAACGTGTAAATGAATCGTGTTCAATGACAAAGTAATTGATGAAAACTTTAAAAACATTTTCCTGACACTCCATCCTGTACAGACATTTCTCTACTAATCATGTTGTAAACCTCAGCCATTTCTAGTGATTGTGTTCGTATGGGAATGTGTTCACAAGGGTCCAACTTGGAATATCAGGAATACACCTTGTTGCCACTTCCTATGTAATCAGGTATCTCCCTGACCCTCACCTTCCTGGAAGTGAAAGGGGGGTCCACCTCATGTTCAAGTTGCTGAAGGTGGTCCCAGGACCCACGGCAAGAACTCATGAAGTGGGAGGACTGGTGGGAGCAAGAATCATGGTGGGGCTGAGCTTGCTATACCTGCTGAGGATGTTTCTTCATCCTGAAATAGCTCTCCAATTCACTTTCTATCTTCTTCCCACAGGTCCCAGAAAATAGCCTTTCTATTTTTTTCTTTTTTGAGGCGGAGTCTTGCTCTGTCACCTAAGCTGGACTGAAATGGAGCAATCTCGGCTCACTGCAACCTCCACCTCCTGAGTTCAAGCAATCCTCCTACCTCCGCCTCCCGGGTAGCTGAGACTACAGGTGTGTGCCACCAGGCCCAGCTAATTTTTTTTTTTTTTTTTTTTTTCTTAGTAGAGATGGGGTTTCACCATGTTGGCCAGGCTGGTCTCAAACTCCTGACCTCAAGTAATCCGCCAGCCTCAGTCTCCCAAAGTGCTGGCATTACAGGCATGAGCCATCACACCCAGCCTGTTTTTCTTTTTACTCTTATTATGGTGTTTCTGACCAGAATTTTTCTTTCATGCCCTACTGTGAAACAACCCATTTTTTGACACAAGCTTTTTGCATTCTTTAGATCTGCTGTTAAGTCAGCTTAACGACATGGGGTGAAAGAAGCTCCCTTCTATTAACTAACTTTCTTTTTTTTTCAGTTCATTCCTGAAGGAAAGACAAAGACATGCAGATATTGATGCAGTCTCTGGACATACAAAGATTCAAAGTAGGGTTCATCTACATTTCTGGGGAAAAAAAAACAGATGTGGAGACTCCTGGTAATGTTACCACATGAGCCAGTATAGTATTCCTCAAGTAGTAAAAGGAAGAGCCTCTGAGTAAGCCCATAGGGCTGAATCAGCTGCCATAAACCAGGGCTGGAATTGGGGGACCCACCAACAGCACTGGATGGGGAAAAAATGGAGGGGTAACAATGGAGAAACACCTCCATTCTATTTTCTGTCACCTGCTGTCCAGCTACTGACCTAGAGATAAATCAGGCCAAAGGTGGGGAGAAAAAGTAGGGAAAGGTTGGCTAATGGGGTGTGTGCAGACACAGCTCCTTTGTCCTCTCTCCAAAAGAAGCAGAAAAGCTCATGACCCCAGCCTTGCCTCAGCGGGCACACTCATGTGAATATTCTGGCCAAAGAGACTTTGGGCAGAAGTTTGCAAAAGGGCTCCTAGGCAGACTTTTGTTTTTCTAAATAAAAAGGAGAGAAAAGATGGCACCTGTCTTTTCCTACCCCCTTACAATTCCCAGAGCGTTCTATCAGTCAGGCATGCAGCACCTCACTCTCAAATACAAACAAAGAGCCAAGGATCACCAGGGTCTGATAAACACAAGGAAAAGACAGAGCACCTCAGACTAACATGACATTTGGGCAAAACCAGTAATCTTCAAACTCTGCTAATGTGAGATTAAAAACTTTTTTTTTTTTGTTTTAGTCACTTTCTTCTACATACGGTAGGCCCAGGCATTAGCTGGTGGAAAAACAAGTAGAAGGAAGAAGTAAAAATGACAAGCAGTGCCAGAGCGGGGGAGGGAGAACGATTTCTGTGGCAATTTATTAGGCCCAGGTAGCCGGTTATAATATAGTCTTGGCCGGGTGCGGTGGCTCACGCCTGTAATCCCAGCACTTTGGGAGGCCGAGGCGGGCGGATCACAAGGTCAGGAGATCGAGACCACGGTGAAACCCCGTCTCTACTAAAAATACAAAAAATGAGCCGAGTGCGGTGGTGGGCGCCTGTAGTCCCAGCTACTCGGGAGGCTGGGGCAGGAGAATGGCGTGAACCCAGGAGGCGGAGCTTGCAGTGAGCCAGGATCGCGCCACTGCACTCCAGCCTGGGCGACGCTAGAGCGAGACTCAGTCTCAAAAAAAAAAAAAAAAAATATATATATATATATATATACACACACACAGAGTCTTGTCTATGTTCATTTATATCAGAAGCCAAGCACATAATACTAATATGCATATTGCAAAAGTCTATCTTTGGAAAAAAAATATATAGGAAATGGAGAAGCTCCTCCACACAGTTTGAATAGGATGCACATTCCCAACTAAAATTTTTTCATGTAATTGTTCAAATGTCTAGTTTTGTTGATATTTCCCTAAGGAACCTATGATCTGTATTAAATGCTTACATTCACTCTCCAGGACATGTGTACATTCAGCCACGAAAAGAAAATGGCAAATCATTTAAGTTGCTTCATTTGTTTTTAAAAAAAAAGGTCCAACATGTCGTGGTAGGAATTTGGTTTGCATCCACACCCAGTGCCACCCGACCCTGCTCTACACTGAAGCTTCTCAGGCTTCCATAGAGAAAATATACTTTCAAAAAGGAGGAACCAACTTGCCCCAGTCTCTGAGGGGCAGGAGGTTTATAGAAAATTCACCCTAAGAAGGGGGAGATTGAAGTGACTGGGACACTGATTGATGGTAGGCAGGGGACAAAGCTTTTGAGTGAAATACATGGTGTTGTCCTTAAAATATCCTCTTAGTCAATCGCTGAGAATCCTGTTCAGGTCATCAAAGTTGCCGATGCAAAAATTAAGCCAATCTAGCCTTTGGGGATTTACTAAAAACAGATCTCATGGCCAGGCACAGTGGCTCATGCCTGTAGTCCCAGCATTTTTGAAAGGCCTATGTGGGAGGATCACTTGAGGCTGGGAGTTCCAGACCAGCCTGGCCCACATGGCAAGACCCTATTCTCTACCAAAAATGTTTAAAAATGAGCTGGGCATGGTGGCCTGTGCCTGTAGCCCTAGCTACTCGGGAGGCTGAGGCACAAGGATCACTTGAGCCCAGGAGGTAGAGGCTGCAGTGAGCTATGATTGTGCCATTGCACCCCAGCCTGGGTGACAAAGCAAGACCCTGTCTCTAAAAAAATAAAAATAAAAACAAGTCTCAGGGTTAGCTGAAAACCTTCCCTCCCAACCACCACCTCCACTTCCCACCATGGGAAAACAAAAACAAAACCAAATAATGCCAAGGTCAGGAGAGTCCTTGGAAGCAAGGGAGGGGGCAGTGATGGCTGAGTAGCAAGAAGACAGTCTTAAAGCCACCAGGCAGAGTCCCCAAGTATCTGGGAGGCTGTTAAAGTATGAGATGAGAACTTTCAATCCAGTAAATTAATCTACCAAGTTGGGGCTTAAAGTTAGAGAAAGATTCTCATTTTCACTGCAGTTGCTCATACCCTTGTTTGTCCTCCCTATCTGGTAGGCCCAAAGCAGGGATAGCAGAAATGCCACCCACACCCATACACACATAAATACACACACACTCTCCATTGGCCACTTGGCAGATCCTCATAAGTCATAGTTCTATGGCTCATAGTCTAAGAAGAACAGTCTTACATGAAAAGAATCTACCTCTACTGGCTGACATTCTAGCAAAGAGAAAACAGCTTTAACATATCTGTGCTTTGTTGTGTTTGAAAAGGAGCAAATACTGATTGCTGCCTTGAACCTAAGTCCTAATGCTTGATAGTAACAGCAATAAAAATACTGAGATATAAACTTTTAATTTTAAAAAAGTTCATTCATAACTAATTTCTATGCACATATCATTATCAAACTAATAGAATTCTGTCTTAATGTTTAGGGAGAAAATTTCCAAAGAGCTTCTAGGCAGGTAACCTTATGGAAAGCACGGCAAGAAAAAGACCCATGTCACAAGTAATATACTAGTAAAAGCCAGATGACTTTGAAAAGAGAACACTTGCTTCTGTGGACACAGGCTCCATTCCTACACCCGGCAATAGGTGCACACTGGCAAAAGCATATACAAGTATATGCCATTGGTTCCAAAATAACAGTCCAGGGAGTCAATGTTGTTTATCACAACCACTGGAAAATAATATGGTAACACTATCTTCATTCACTCACATCTAACAAACATTTCCTGAACATTTACCAAGAGCTAGACACTGTTATAGGCAATGGCGCGGGGCGTGGGCGGGGTAGAGCAGTCGCGACAAAACTCCCTGCCTTCGCGGAGCTTATATTCCAGTGAAGAAGACAGACAGTAAGTAAAATACACAGTCTGTTTATTGGTGATAAGTGCAAAGGAGGAAAATGAAATAGGAAAGAACGTGGGATGGAGGCTTCAGGGCAGGTTTTCATTTTAAGCAGTGTGGTCAAAGAAAGCCTCATAACATTTGAGCAAAGACCTGCTATATAGATATCAGAGGGCAGAAAGGCCCAGAAGACGGAAACAGCAAGTGCAAAGGCCTGAAGTTAGAAAGTCTGATGAGTTCACACACAATAATGACGTGGGTTTGGC